AAGAATAAGTGTTTGGCCTAGTTTTATGCACCATATCATTATCATAAAGCCATGGTCGACCAAGTAATATGTGGCATGCATCCTAGGTGCTACATCACACCACACTTTATCTTTGTAATTCGCACCAATGGAAAAAGAGATTAAATAACGAGTAAGAACAAGTACCTCACCTCCTTTCTTGAACCACTGGAGGTGGTATGGGCGTGGGTGCTTATGTTCCTTCAATTGAAGTTTAGCCACCATCTCTTTACACACAATGTTTTCACTGCTCCCACCATCAATTAGTATTCTGCATAACTTGCCTCTTGATGTGCAAATTGTTCGAAAAATATTATGTCGCAGCCACTTCTCATCCTCGTTAGGTATTGGGGTTGATAACATAGTCGCTGGACAACTAATACTTCACCCTCTTCATCTCCATACAAATCCTCAACTTCACCTTTGAAAGGCCCAGTCCCTTCATAAGACTGACTCGTCCCAATATCACCTTAGCCTTCATAGGTGTATCCTTCATCAACTTCTTCTTCATAATTTTTTTCAACCAAATTAACTATGACAAAGGGTTGACATGAGGGGCAATTGAATGCCATATGTCCAGGCTGTTGGCACTTGAAACACACTATTTGTGTATTATCACGAAGTGTTTTAGGCGCTCCCAACCCTCTCCCAACACCACCTCTCCCCATATTAGCGTTTGGCCTAGTTGGAAAATTATGATAAGTTTGGTTTCCACGTCCTATAGGTAGTCTTCTAAAGGTTAAAGCTTGTTGCCCCTGTATTGAAGTAAAGCTTCTTGTCACTGAACTATTTCTCCCAAGGCCCAGATTGATTACTTCATTTGCTTTAAGGGTCAAAGTATTGGCATCAGACATCTTATAGATATCTTTGAAAGCCAATTCATTATGAATGCTTTGATTTAGCCCATTCAAGTAATGACTTATTTTTTTATCTTCATACTCTTGTAAGTTTGCCCTAGATGACAAAATATAGAACTCTTCAGTATAGTCACTTACCGACTTTTCACCTTGCTTGAGGTTTTGACATCTTCGGGCATAATTTACTGGTAAACATTTTCAACGCATCTTCGTCTTCATATTTTCCCACGAATTAATCTTTTCCTTGCCTTGACGAAGACGATCCTGTTGCAAATCATCCCACCAAGCCAATGGATGGCCAGAAAATTTTATGGCTACTAATTTTACTTTTTTATGATCTGCAATATCTTTGTACTCAAACACTTTCTCTACTTTACTTAGCCAATCAAGAAAATCATCTGCATGCAATCGACCATGGAACTCTGGAATATCAATTTTTATTCCAAGTTCTCTTTCTCTTTCTAACAATCGAAGAATTCGTTATTAGTCGGGGCCACCTGAGGTTAGTTAGGAACAAGATGCATACCTCTTTCATCTTTGTTGCCTTGAGTTCCAACTCCGGTCTTCGGATTCCTTCCATCCCGAAGCTGAGCGAACTTTTGCGCAAGCTCATCGACTTTTGCAGCTACATGCATGAATTGGTCTACTCTCTCTGCTAGGGCTTGAACTAATCCAGTCAATACCTTTAATTCATTGAGGTGTGTCTCTTGTAAAGTCATCAGAACCTAGCTCTGCTACCAATTGATGCAGGGAGAGAACAAAACAAAAAAATTAACAATAAAAATAATGAAGGTTAAGAGAAAAATATCCTCTCGCAAAGGTCTGCAAGGGAATCCACTCCCAAAACAATATCTTTCAAGAAAGGAGATGTCCCTTTAAATAGACTAAAATAAAATAACTAATAAAATGCTTATCTCTACACCTATCCCTATTGTCTCTCTCATATCGACGGGCCCTCTCATGTTTGACCAAAAAAGACCTCTCAAGTTGGTTATTGTTGATAAAGATAAACTCTCTTTTAAATTTACTCTTATCCTAAATATATCCTTCAAACTAACCCAATCGATACAAGACAAACACAACATAAACTCTAAAGTCACCTTGCTAGTTATCCCTGAGCACTCCCTAAATAAAAGAATAATTAAAATAATCATAATTGAAATAACTTCTCCTTATTACGTCATTGCCCTTTCTTTCCCTCTTGGGTTCTGCGACCCTTCTTGGGCCCAGTTACGAAGGGGCATGGCTGTATCAGGTGACCAATTGGAGGAATTTTTTTTTTTTTGAGTCTACCAATCACTCTATAAACATATATATTATAGAGAATTTAGGAAACAATAATTTAACTTTTGGTGCTTTTTTTATTATTATTACAAATATTCTTAGCTTTTATGAATGATTAAGAAAAAGAAATTACATTAGAGGAGATAACAAGAGATGATAGGGAAGCACCCCTTTTAGCTAAGGAATCAGTCAAAGAATTAGCTTCAAGCATGGGAGAAGGAGAATGTCAAAGGTTCCACCAAATCCATGACCTGCAACCATAGGGAACGAAACTCCCAAGGAACTTTCTGCTCGTTTTCGCACCATCTAATGACATTCAAAGAGTCCCCTTCAATCCAACAATTTCTACCAAGATTCCTATCAATCATAATTTTCACCCCACTCAGTAGAGCATTCAGTTCAGTAAAATTTGCAGTTTTAACCCCTATCAGACCGGCATAGCAAAGAGAATGTTACCCAAATAGTCTCTCAACACACCACCAATCCTAGCAACACACCATCAATCCCAGCTATATCCGGGTTACCTAAGGAACTACCATCAAAGTTAAGCTTCAAGCTTCCATTAGAAGGTACAACCCAAAAACTTCATGGTCAAAACTTTTACCATACCCGAGAAGAAAAAGACTACTGAGATTAGCCATAACATCAATATTGGAGATTCCCTATCCCTCTGTTATCACAAACAACAAGGACTAAATCGACTGTTTGATAGTAATTAATAGTCTCTCAACCGTCAAATCTAGGCGTTTGTTGTGGACCCAGTTGCCCATGTCAACTAGAACACCTAGTTGCGGTGATCTTTTTTTTTTTTTTTGAATGAATGAGTTTTGGTGTCCATCAAATACTCTTTTATGTAGGCATTTGACTGGTAAACTCAAATGAACAATGGGTCTTAAAAAATTTGGTAGTCTCAAATGAACACTTCGGATAAATGGGTCTTCAGAAAAAATAAAATCCTTACTTTTTTCGTTTCTTTTTCTTTGATATATTATATCCTAGAATTTGAAGACGTGACTTAATCTAACAAACACCTCAAAAAGAAAGATCTTAAATCATAGAAAGTCAAGTATCTACACGCATTTTGGAATTCCATTGAATAAACCTCGTGTCCTAAATCGCACACACGACAAATATTAGAATTTAAGTACTCATTTCCTTTTTCCTTTTTCAAACAAATATCAGAATTTAAGTACTCATTAGCCTAGGACACTACTGTCTTTTTCCTTTTTCCTTTTTCAAACAAATGTCAGAGTTTAAGTACTCATTAGCCTAGGACACTACTTTCTTTTTCTATCTTTTTCTATGTAGAGTTAATGGTAGGAATGGAGCTAAGATGTTAAGTTGAGGCACCTCCCCCTTACCCACCAATGGCCCTATCTCATCCCCTGCATTGTCTTGACAAACACATACACAACGTTGCTTCAAAACTACTTTCCCTATACTAAAATCATTTTTTCTCCAGTGGGTCATTGTATAATGGATGTTGGGATAAATCTTGGATGATGATAATAATGTACAATGGATATGCACAATGAATCACATTGGTGTCAGATAAATGGGCATCTTTCATGATTCTACAACAAAATTTAATTATTGAAATTAAGTTAATCACTCTTAAGCTAACAAAAATTGAATTATGCAAAACTTATCTGAGGACCATGTTCCCAAAACAATGAAATTGCACGGTAGACAATCGGATTATTTATTTCTTATAATTCGTACTTGATAAGTTAGTTTCGAGCTGCAAAAGCTTCATTCAAACACTTTTTTGTTTTTTGATTTTTAAAAAATAAAGTGAGTCAGATATCTGGACCCTTATTTTTGGATGAGAATGGAGTTCGAGACTTCATTATAAAACTCAATGATAATACCATTAAGGCTCAGCCCACTCTCTAAAAGAAAATTTTAAGAACCAAAAATGGATCACATGACCTCTTGCAAAGAGGCACGTTGGCGCAGAGGCGGGCAAACGAGCAGGCTACTCGCCACTAGATTATTCAACTGCATTGATGATCATAGTGTCTAGTCATTGACAAATGGTTAGAAAGGTAAACTCAAATAGGGAATCGCTTGGGTCCAATCTTTAATCACCCGATCTGAGTTGAACAAGTCCATGTTGGAACAGAAAAGTTCCTAACAAGAAGATTAAAAAAAATATTTTACCACCTGGATCAACTTGGGCCATTCCCAAGTTGACCTGGCAATTTCCTAAGATGAATATTTTAACAACATACGTATCTTTTGATTTAATTTTAAAATACCCATCGAAAGACACTTGCAAAAAAACCACAATGATAAATAGTTCAACTCCAGTGGGTATTTTGATCAATTTTCCATTTTTTAAATGATAGAATTCCCACATGATCCAGTAATGAGATTGTTCTTTCAATGGCCCACTCATTAATTGAGTCCCTGTTAATGTTACATTGTCTTTCCAAATGCCCGTTCTGCTCAAGTAGACACTACCACACACTCGGCATAAGGATAACTGGTCTCAATCATTCACTGTTGGGCATGGATGGTGGATACGACGAGTATCATACTGTCGCTGTGGCACATGTATCTTGAAGTGCTTTCCATTCAAATACAAGGATTGATCATTCCTTGTCTAAATCTCAAGCATGATAAAGATGAACACACACGTACATGCAAAGGCGCGCATGAACACAGCATAAAATGGAAGAAATGAGATGGCATCATGCAACAAACGCAAATGGAATACATGTTTAAGCTTTAAAAAATCAAACTTAAAAAACGAAACAATTTCCCACATTCCAAACCGAAAAAATAAAAGAGATAGGAAGAACAATAATAGAACAGAATAATGCACACAGGAAAGAATCTAGAGAAAAATAAAATTTGAACATTCCCGATGCCCAGTCATGTATTAAGGGTACAACAACCCTCATAAATGGTTAAGATTTGAGAAGAACCCGAAGCCACAGCTTATTTGCAGATACAAAAGCAGTTTATTTGCCAAGCAAAGGCCCCAAAGATTATTCTGACATAAAAATTTTACCCAAAAAATTAAATTTGCCCTCTCATCGCACCATTTTCATACTCACGAAATGTGCAGAGATTGAGCTTGCATAACGTCGTAATCAACAACAAAAGTTCGTACTCTCGTCCACACAGTATACTCTGGCTGAAAGGGTTAACCTTACAATACAATTATTTCTGCATTAAGATATAACTCTATATGAATATCATGAGGCTGGTAAATGAACATGTACTCTTACTACATTGTGAATTACAAAATTTCCTGTGAACTTCAATAAACCAATGTCAGCAAGAGAGAGAGTCATGATTTTTTTAGAAACTTAAATTACATGGGTGAAATAATTTTGCAGCCTACTAAATCAAAGAAACTAATCCTGTAATCAAGTCTCTGTGCCTAGCTAACATTTATAAAGGTAATATCCCTACTTACATTTATAACATGGGAATTTAAGCATTTTACTTTCCATTTTTCTTCTTAGGATAAATATTTATCGGCCATCAGGAGCAATTCTGTACAAACTTCAAACAATTATACCTTGTGTAAACAAAGTTTATGCTTAGGTTTAGAGAAATAAATACAAATGCACCAAGAAGAAAGGGGGTGGGCTATGGCTCCTAAAGGTCAACATCTCTAACCAACTCTATCAAACATTTTTATACTATCAGAGATCGATAGGTGCTAATTTCTATAAGTTTACCCGGTCTTTTGAAGCTTAGCCTACATGCAATTTCAGAGAGCTGCAACTGACCCTATCAATTACTAAGAAGAAATAACAAAACTAAAGAAAAATCTGCATGATCCTCCCTCTTCTTCTTTTTTTTGCATTTGTTTTTCTGCACATGATGCAAACATTTGGTTGGACAAGAAACAACATATCCATACAATGAGCATAGCTGAGATGAGGATGTTGAGATGGATGAGTGGTAATACAAGAAATGATAGAAATCAAAATGAATAGGTTCAAGTGGAATGCTTTAAAAGGGCATGGGGAAGGCCCAAAAGGACATGGAGGGAAGTAACAAGAAGAGATATGGTGACTTATTGTCTAATCGAGAATATAGCCGATCCCAAATAGTTGGGATAGGCCGCCGATGATGATGAAAACATCTGAAAACTCAAGTCCACAATGTTAAAATTGATTCCAAATGAATGGCAACTCCCAATTGTCCCACAATGAGAGGCAGCATAAAACAACTTGACCAAAAAAGAACTGCTGAACTAGTACTTCAAACTTCTAAAAACCTCCCATCAGCCTCCACTTCAAGAATGCAATCAACTAAATGGACTCCCTAAAAGAGACATGGACTCCTAAATGAGACATCCCAGTATAGGAAAGGGAGCAGTCAACCCCCCTCCATGAAGGAGAGCAGCCTTAGCGAGAAACCAAACCAACCAGTCCTAGAAGATAACCACGAGGTCCACCATTCTACACCAAACATCACATAAGTACCTCACTCTCCTACCACCCCTAGGACTTGGCTCTGAAGACCAATAATTTAAAAGGAAAACGTAGGATTCGCTAAAAGTTACTGACCCCAGTCAACCAGTCTGACTTGGAGGATTCCAATTCAGACCAGAGGAGTTTTTACAAAAAAAGTCAAGAAAATATATTGGAAAAGGGTAGACTCAGACTATTCAATGGGCTTTTCAGCCCGGAATTACCCGGCATCCAATCCAGGCTGGCTAGGGCAAGTTCAAAGACAGGCCCGGTGATTTTTTAGTTTCCGTTGTAGACCCTCTTCACCAAGTCATATGTGCACCATTTGCTATCATCCCCTTCTCATCAGCTTGTCTTCCAATCATCTAGAGGTTTGAAACAAAAACATGTAGTAAATTGGGATGTTAAGAAAAGCGACCCTGATAACAGTGGCCCTCTCACCAAAAACAAATACAAGAAGCAAACTTTATCTCCCATCTTTCCACCCTCAGGTCCCAAAGATTTTCCTAGGCTTGCGTAGCCACATTAGGATAAAATTCCACCTGGCATCCCAACCACACAGCCAACTCTCTGAATGCATTGCCCAACAAGACAGTACAAGTTGATTGCAAATTGATTGCAAACAAGATACTGCCTCATTCCACTAAGGACCAATCTTATTTCTTCATCTATGCTGTAAAGGCATGACAAAAAGCCATATCATCTACAATGGGGTTAGTGACCATCAGCTTGTAAGGTTTCACTGTTTGAGCACCCCTAAACTCTCTGCCCTAAAGATGAGTTTGCTAAATGCCTGAAGCCTTTGAGATTAGACTAAAAAGGACGGAACACTTGGCACATTTTTCCAAACCCCATACATCCCACTAAATAATCCAAACAAGATCGAAGTCGTTATTGGCTTTCTCCATGTTGAGCCTATGAATGATCATTAGACTTGGCTTCCCTATGCCACAAAAACAAGACACTCATGGCTGCCTACTCTGGAAACCTAAAAAGACCTCGCATGAAGGATATTATAACTTCCAGAAGCTGTCTTAAGAATATTACAAAACCTTAACATCAAATCTTGTACAAGCTGCCAACCAAGCAAATGCAGCCAACCCTCAAAACTCAGTTCCCCAGATGATAAACATTGAAGACCTTCAATAGAATTGCCTTCACTATGTCCTAACAATCCTAATGAACACTTGCAATGAACAATTGTCAACCTCAGGGCCTTTTCCACATCCTCCCAAAACTGATGCTTGAGCCACTCTACCACCACCGCCCCGGAATACCCTCATAGTTTACATCATAATAGTCCAAAACTCATCACTTCAAGCCTTTAAACCTATAAAATTCCCAAAAGAATCCAAAAGGCATAGAATGACATTTTGGTCCCCTTGTGTTCCACTAAATCCACATGAAGTCCACAGTTGTGGTTATTCATTATGGCATCACCAAATAAAAGAAAAGAATGGTGTTGCAGTCCCATCCCCAAAATGTCTCACACTACATAACATTTTCTAAAAGAAAGAAAATCTCACTCTTTTGACACCAAATTCTTCTCCCCATACCAGATCCTGGCAATCTGCCAATCTCATTCTCCTGTCTTTTTCTTGTATCTGTTGACCTTGTAGATTCCTTTTCCAACTTTGTTAACACATCACAGGATGTCCATTTCCACTCTACTAATTTTCCTTCCATTCCCACTCTGCGACCAGCACTACATATCCCTTCAATCATATGTCACAAGAAGAGTTCTCCAATCACACGTTCTCAAAACAGAGGTGGAATGTCCGCTCCCAATTTGCAACCGAGTGGTTGGAATATTTTTTCTTTTTAAATGAGTGTTTTGAAATTGGTCTAGGTAATAGAATACTTTCAGATGAAGAGCTTCCCAGTCTAAGGATGAGGAAATGACCTTGTTATGTGAAAGACAGGTTATAGCATTGTACAAAAGGGTATCAATAAGTTCACATCCCATAAACTCCAAGAATCATAAACCAATGGAGAACAGTCTAACCACATAATGGCGTAGTAAGCTCTAAATTGTCACTATGAATTAAGAAAAGCTATGAAGTTCTCAATTTTTTTATTTTCTTTTTCTTTTTTATTGTTAACCTATGGATTTCTCCAATTAGGTCCAAATATCCTATTTAAGACACATATGCAACACAGGAATTAGATAACTGTAGTCTAGAAGACGGACATGTAAACACATTTCATACAATATCTATGGATAAAAGCATATACTCCCTTTCCATGTGAAAGAAAGGCCAGCAACAAATAAATTTGACTATAATAGTCTAGATTCCATTAAGAAAATTAACTAATCCTTTAACAATTGAACCAAATGGATGGTAGCATCAATCAAATATTTCAGTCTTAATGTAACAACAAACAGTTTAAATACCATCATATCTAAACCTACATAAGTAAATAACAATTATCTCTAAAAACGACTTTTTATTTTATTTGGGGAATTTATCAAACACCCCCAAGAGATTCACTACTTTCAAACACCTCATCTACATATCATTAGGGCCCAAAAATTGATAGACAGGCAATTTCAAATCTTGAACCTTTATTAAAACTAAAGTGGCTTTTAGGAAACACCTCATGAGATAGTAGTATGTTTGAATACGAAAATCCCCTCTTGCAGTGGCAGGATGTTCATGATACGCAATTTTGGGACATACTTTAGAATAACAAGATGGGTATATTAAAAAAAAAAAAGGGATTTTGAATGCCTAAACGCCCAGATCTGACCATCCAAAACTTCTATGGTCTGTCAGTATGCAACCCTAGGTGAATGTTAAATAGCCATCTCTTGGGGATGGTTGATAAACTTCCTTTTTATGTTTAAGCTATAATGCACTGAGATACCATTTATTAATAAATGAAGTGAAGCATCTATTGATGTTTGTTTCTAAACAAAGTCATTACGTTAATAAAAATGCTAGAAAGCACTTGAAAACTAACTGTTATTTTTTTATTAAATATTTTCTAAATAAGAAGAGATGTACATCTTTATTTTGCTACATTTTTGTTTATATGGTACAAATATGTCTAATTTTGTAATGTTCTAGCCATAATCCTAAAATTTCAAGATTTTAGCACACCAAGAAAGTCAAATGGAATTCACCCATTTCAATATACCGTTACTTAGAAAATAGCGAGTGTTGTCATCCCATTGATTTCAAAAGATATACTTGGTTCCTCATGATTTTGCAAAATGTATCTTAACCTTTCAAAAAACGGTCAGCTTAGTCTGAAGTTCTAAATTAACCAAATTCAAAAGAAAAATACACCCCAAGGGACCCCATTCTCCCAGCTATATTTATGGATTATTTTTGCATATTTAAAATTAAAAAAAGTATACAAAGAGACCATTTATTTTTAGCATAAAGAGGTCACAATCACTCTTGTCCTTAAGACTTCAAATTGGGTGGTTGTAAGAATGTCATTGACTAGACTCAAAATTCCAAACAAACAAAAAAATGCCTCAAACTTCATGACACATTCCAAGCCATCCAATTTGACATCTAATGGCTACGAGTAATTGTGACCTCCTTGTACCAAAGAAAAATGGTCTCGTAGTATACAATCCCTTCAAATTAACCAGCATGGTGTTCATTACCATTCCAAAAGAAATTGATGTACTCTTAATTTCTAGTGAACAAACACCCAAATCTTCAATAATTAGCCCTACTACAAAAACCAATACAGATTTGTGTCTTCAAAAGAGCTCCAAATGCCCTTACTTTTTCAAATGTAATGAGACTGCTTCTATTTTGCAAACTAACCAAATAATATATCTCCTCCATATTACGAAAAATATGATTTTTCTATTTTTCAGAAAAATGGATATTTCTTGAATGCATATTTAAAAAACAAGCTTTTTAAAATACTGACAAAATTACAGATCCTTATTATCCAGTGTAGCAATCCAGCACACAAATTGTTAGAAAGAAAATCAAGAGAACTGAAATTATATTGGAAAAACTTCTGCTTGAAGATGGACAAACAATTCAGCAAGCAGAGATCGCTAGGAGAATGGAAGAGAAATGAACACATACCCAGGTCGAAATTTACAATGTAGTCTCTTTGTTCATAGTGAAGTGTAGGCAGACATCCAGTTCAAGCAGGAGGTAGAGAGCCATCAAAAAAAGACTTCAAAAAAATTGTATCAAAACTCCATCACTGTTGAAGAGAGGTTCAACAGAGGCCCCAATGCACTGGGAGCAAACTTCCTCGCAAAGAGGTAGCATAGAGATGTCGGCTCTGAGTTATGAAAGCAAGTCGTTCCATTATTCCTAATTGCAAAAATAAAATCTTCAGTGATATCAGGGCCACCAAAGGTGGCAGGATGGGGCCCACCTCTTGACCAGTCCACCCAAGTGACACTCCTATTGGAATTGAGAGACCCATAAAACATATTCAAGTAAGTAGGGATGTAGTGTTCATCTGGGTAGCAAGAAGGCTTGCAATATTTCTTGAAGATAGTATAGTATTTCGAGTCTGAAACAATATTCACAGCTACATCCCTGTGGGCCTCAAACCACTGCGAGCCTTTACGCCATTGATGGAGCTTAATGTCAGGGGCCATATTTCGGCTGTATCGCCCACGGCCATAACGAGATGGGTCATCATATGAGTCCACAAAACTCTCCTTTGATGTGATCAGATAGTTGTAAACTGTGGGAAAGTTGTACATCGGAATGCAACTCTCTGATAATAGAACAAACCTTTCGTTTGAGAAATCAAGAAGGGCATTGGCTAAGAGCCTCCTCTCTCCATCAGCCATGTTTATGGTCCCCCACTTAACCTCCTGACATCATAAATGAGAGGACAACTAATCAAAATGAAGAAGACATGAAAGCCTCATATATTTAAGTAGGATGAAATGTCGCAGAAAGTTAATTTCTAGTTCCATGAGGCAGATATATCAGGAAAGACAAATGCACTCTCTCTCTCTCTCTCTCTCTCTCTCTCTCTACTACTAACTAAGTAAGTAAGTAGTAGTAGTAGTACGTACGTACGTTACGTTACTTCTTCTTCTTTACTTTCGTTTCGTTTCTTCGTTTCTTCTTTCTTTCTTT